AATAATAATAATAATGAATCAGATTTGGGTCATATTTGTCTGCAGTGGGAACATACCCTTTAAAGTCCCAACCAAAGGGAGAAGGGGGGGTCTCTGCAGTCACTAAGTAGGAGTTTCTTATTTTGTGGCAGGACCTGGACCAAGATATGATTGGTCAGATTGATGGTGGCGTTTGGAAAAGCTTGGTCGAGTCGGGCAGGAAGCACCTGTGTTTTTTAATTTCAATTTTAGTCATAATTCGAGACAGGATGGTGCTAGCTACATGAAATTTGAAGTCAATAAATTATCTTTACATGTTCACAATAATTTTAATTAGACTCATTGTTTTAAACTGTACTTAAGAGTCAATAAATCATTATTTTATTATTACCATTACTTCCTCTTTTAAGTTGCCCCCACAAGACGTCAATCCAACCAATCASGGTTAGGGAAAACTCTGCCCACACCAAGATCTTCACCAATCATGGGTAGGCTTTCTCTGCCCACAGGACATGTACTGCAGAGACCCCAACTTGGTGGCAGAGGTGGGCAATGACACAATGTGCACGACACAATTTTGCAAGCTTTTTACACATACTGTAAGGTGCCAATTTTCAAAATGCAGCCAAATTGGTTGACTGGTGGCAAACACTCAGAATTCACTGAGACATGTAAACTAAAATATTCTTTCAATATTGAGTAGAAGTAGAACAGTTTCAGCCCAGTGAGATATTACAGCACAGTAGTTGGTTTTTTTTTTAAAGCTACAAACACAGAAACTCAAGTCAAKTGATCAGTGTCATATTTTGACTACAAATATATTTTAAAAAGTCTGTGGAGACAAGAGACTCAAAGAAGCTTGATAAAAATAAAGTGTTTCTGGACTACAGATCAGGAAAGTACTCATTATTGAGCTGCTGGTTTCTGAACAGAACTGGCAGCAGAACCAGCTGTTCTTCCCTGTCACGTGACGTCCCTTCACCCGCCGATCAACTTCTGCATTGTCTTCTGTGTTCGACTGCAGAGCACTGACAGCAGCTGCACTTGGRGGACCCAAAGTTTAATCCCCCCTCTGTCACAACACCCTAACAGGAGGTCAAGCTGGAGTGACCCATCACCAGCCTCATGACTCACCTCTGCAGCACTGAAAGGCCCTCAGAGCCAGGGATTAACCAAGAAACATGKTGCGACGTAAGAAACTGTAGGTCATGTCTAGTGTGAGTCACATACCTGACTGTATGAAGTCAATATGTTTACTGTACTGGGATTTAGAATTAAAACTTTAATTACTACTTATTAAAATGATTAGGATGTATGTTCATCTAATAATAAAACATATTAGTGCTCTTAAATTCTGATGACCCATAAAATCTACTCTAAGAGCATCACAGAACATGACACAGGTCTTTCTTACCTTTATTTGTCCTTTAGCCACTATCTTGTCTGTGATCTCTCCTTCCTCTTTGCTCTGCTTGGTTCTGCTGCTGCACTTCTCATAACACAGCAGGCGCAGCGTCTGAGAGCCCTCCAGCTCAATCTCAAACTCCTTGAATGGAAACACAGCAAATGGGAATTAGATATAAGATCTTCTTGGATAATGCTCTGGTTTCATTTCATTAAAGGTCCTGTCACACTATAACAGTCTGGACAACTTATGCTGACTTATGAAAATATTATGACTCATATCAGCTGTATATTCATTCTATTGTTACCATTACAGTATGCATAGYTCTGAAAGAAGRTTCCAGTAGATTTTCAGCTTAGACATCTGTAGTGTTGGACAAACTTTTAAAAAATTGGCATAAATTATCTAAAATGTTATAGTGTGACACATACAGTACATGCCAAGCTGTATGGACTGTCCATAAGTTACACAGATTTCCCTCATTTTGCAGCTATACAGACGTATAGAACAATCTCAAGATTTTTTTCAAGTTGTACAGATTTTTTCAAAAACTCAGTTTCAAATTTGTTTAACATGTCAAGAGTCTGTAGGACATTAAAAATACAACAAATAACATAAAATAACCATCTTCCAACTAGAGATTGACTGATACAGGTTTTTGAAGGCTGATACCGATACTGATTTTTTAAACATCAGTCTAACCGATACGCCGATACGTGCAGCCGATATTATTTGGCCGATTAATGAAGAAATACTACTTTTTCTTCTTCCATTAACATGACAAAAATAAGAATGATAACAAATGTTATACAAGTCTTAATTTAAAACAAAACAAACAAACAAAAAACATTTATTAACTAAGCCTTGTCTGATGCAGGTTGTATTGAGTGCTACCACACAGGATTTCTTCTTAAAAAA